CGTCCTCTCCCGGCAGCTGACCGTCCGCCCGGGCCGTGTCCGCGCCGACGAGTTCAACCGCGACCCGCTCACGTGCTGCAGCCCGCGCGCGCTCGTCTCCTCCCTGCTGGGCCTTCCAGAGGTTAGGGTTAGGGCGAGAATATGGTTCGGGGTTGGGTAGCCTCTGCTTCGACTCCCTGCTCGGTCTAGGCGCGACCACGCTTGGAGTGAGATTCGGAGGAGGCACACTGTCTCTCTCTGTCCCGCTATGTCACACCGCGACCACGGGGTTGGGAGGAGGCTCCACCGCCACTCTCCGTCTTACGCACCCTCCTCGCACTCTCAAGGGCGACGGCAGCTTCACCGTGGCGCACGCGGTGGCGGCGTCGAGCGACTACGCGAGCATCAACTTTGCGCACACCGCGCCGCGCCTCTCCTGCCTCGTCCCGTGCTGGCGACGCTCCCCCCCCCCGGCCGAGCCAACCCTCCCTAGACACTTCCTAGACGCGCGTGGTTCTCACAGGCGGCGATTCGTGCTCAACCGCGGGCTCAACATGCCGATGAGTGTCCCCGAGCCCCTCCTCGAGCGGCGCGGCCCCTGCGGCGGCGGAGCGGGGGGGCAGACGCCGATGGCCTTCACGGACGGCGGCCAGCTGGACACGTCCGCCGTCCTGCCGTTGCTGGCGCGTGGCGTGCGGCGCATCATCAGCATGCAGACAGGCAACGGCATGCAGCGAGGCGGGACATGTCCAGGACACGCCCCTGACATGTCCGGACCGCGTCCAACAGGAGGCACGCCCTACCGCACCCTCAAGCAGTGCGGCGGAGACCTGACCGAGGGGGTGGAGAGCGGTCTGATGGCGCCCCCCTCACAGCGCTACGCGCACCGCGCCCGCCCGGCCGCTACCAGAGCTCACGGGTGTCGATCTGCCGCAGGCCCTCTTCGGCGTCTTTGCGAAGGGGCAGATGCGCGAGATGATCGTGACGCAGGCGGCCGTCTTTGCGGTCGAGGCGTACCGCGAGATGCGGCGCCAGTTTGACGCGTGCAAGGCGGAGGGCAGGCCGCTCGTCGCGCTCCTCAAGGGCGTGCCGGTGCACGCAAACCCCTTCCACGGCGTCCGCGGGGGGTGGGCCGTCGACCTGTGCATCTGGTACATCGACGCGCCCCGATCGTGGCTGGAGGCGGTGCCGCAGACGGCAGAGGTCATCAAGCCGGTTGAGAGCGAGGTTCCAATCATCCCCGCGTTTGGTGCGCCCACCAGCCCGTCTCGCCACATCTCCGCGACGCCTCGGCTCGCCCCTCGCCCCCCGCCCCTCACCCACCCCCTCTCCTCCCGCCCTTTGCGCAGGCCTCTTGGACAACGAGGCGGTCAACATGGTGTGCGACCTCGCCGCGTGGTCCGTCATCTCAAGCGAGCGCGCCTTCCTAAGCCTCCTCGAGGGCGGGGCGGACGGCGGCGAGGGCGGCACCGGCCGGGCTGCGGGGCCGGCGCCGGAAAAGATGGACCGCTGCCGATGAGGCCCGCAGCGTGATCCTGCAGCCCAGCACTCTGTTTACTGTTCGGCGCTTGGCCGCGGTCCCCGCCCACCATGCGATCTTTGTACAGGGATGCCAGGGTTCTTTGTGGGTGGTGGTCGGCGACTAGCCGGGGTCGTCCTCCCGATGTACCGTGCTACGAATTCGGTGTGTGTGTGTTTCCTGCGCCTTGTCTGTCGTGTGAATCGTGCGTGTGCGAAAGGCTTTTGTTGTAAAATTCTGTTTATTGCGGAGGCGTTCAGCTGCGCTCTTTACTCTCGTTTCTGTTGAAGGAAGTCAGTTGTAAGAACGCCGGACGTATCGGGGATCCGGGAGACTTCGTCCCAGACAGCCAGACGCCGCGCGGAGGGTTATTGCGGAGGCTTTCATTGATGTGCTCTTTACTCGTTTCTGTTGAAGGAAGTCAGTTGTAAGAACGCCGGACATATTGGGTACCCCTACTTACCAACGAGCCAGCCTCCTCCATGCGCCCCCCTGCGACACGAGGCGGGGCAGGCTGCAGTAAGCGATCGTACAGGTCTGTCTTACCAAGAGTAGCGTGTGGAGAGGGATACTGTCCTACCTAACCTGATCTTGGGCGGTAGCTCAGATCGGCCTCACTTGATGATAGCCCCGGTGTAGGTGCAACCGGCCTGCTGCACGTCCTTCAGCTGCGAGAGCGTAAACCCCAGCTCGGCGGCCGCCTGTGTTGTCATGGACGGCGTTGACACGTCTAGCACAGAGCGTGAAGCTCAGCTCGTCGGAGGCGAGGCCGTTCGTGCAGCGTCCAGCTTCGCCGCCTCGAGGACAGGCTCGCGAGAAAAGATCCACAAGCCGGAGTTGAAGTATCTGCACGTGGTGGGGTGCATATCGGTGACATCTGGCCCGGTGGGTACCGCTCATGAAGACAAGCGCACCCGCTCCCCGTCGTGCAGCCGTCCTCGTAGGCATCCGAGGGCTGGCCGCCAGAGATCACCGCCCATTCATACTTGCCGGCGCCATCGGCGCCTGTATAAACGATCACAACGTAGAAATGTGATCTCGATTTAGCACCAGCCCTCGGATGTGGCGGCACCGACAGCGACGACCCAGTAGTCGCCGCCAAAGACGTTGGGCGTCGCAGCTGACGCGCTGTACACAGCGGTGGCGGATGCGGCGGTGCGCGGCGGGCTGGCTGGCTTCAAGCCTCAGGACCTGGCCATCACGGTGTGGGCGTACGCGACGGCGGGCGTGGCTGCGGACGCGCTGTACGCGGCGGTGGCGGAGGAGGCGGTGCGCGGCGGGCTGGCTGGCTTCAAGCCTCAGAACCTCTCCAACACGGTGTGGGCGTACGCGACGGCGGGCGTGGCTGCGGACGCGCTGTACGCGGCGGTGGCGGAGGCGGCGGTGCGCAGCGGGCTGGATCGCTTCAAGCCTCAGGACCTGGCCAACACGGTGTGGGCGTACGCGACGGCGGGCGTCGCAGCTGACGCGCTGTACACAGCGGTGGCGGATGCGGCGGTGCGCGGCGGGCTGGCTGGCTTCAAGCCTCAGGACCTGGCCATCACGGTGTGGGCGTACGCGACGGCGGGCGTGGCTGCGGACGCGCTGTACGCGGCGGTGGCGGAGGAGGCGGTGCGCGGCGGGCTGGCTGGCTTCAAGCCTCAGAACCTCTCCAACACGGTGTGGGCGTACGCGACGGCGGGCGTGGCTGCGGATGCGCTGTACGCGGCGGTGGCGCAGGAGGCGGTGCGCGGCGGGCTGGCTGGCTTCAAGCCTCAGGCCCTCTCCAACACGGTGTGGGCGTACGCGACGGCGGGCGTGGCTGCGGACGCGCTGTACGCGGCGGTGGCGGAGGCGGCGGTGCGCGGCGGGCTGGATCGCTTCAACCCTCAGAACCTGGCCAACACGGTGTGGGCGTACGCGACGGCGGGCGTAGCTGCGGACGCGCTGTACGCGGCGGTGGCGGAGGCGGCGGTGCGCGGCGGGCTGGCCGGCTTTACGCCTCAGAACCTGGCCAACACGGTCTGGGCGTACGCGACGGCGGGCGTGGCTGCGGACGCGCTGTACGCGGCGGTGGCGGAGGAGGCGGTGCGCGGCGGGCTGGCTGGCTTCAAGCCTCAGAACCTGGCCAACACGGTGTGGGCGTACGCGACGGCGGGCGTGGCTGCAGACGCGCTGTACGCGGCGGCGGCGGAGGCGGCGGTGCGCGGCGGGCTGGCTGGCTTCAACCCGCAGGAGCTAGCCAACACGGTGTGGGCGTACGCGACGGCGGGCGTGGCTGCGGACGCGCTGTACGCGGCGGTGGCGGAGGAGGCAGTGCGCGGCGGGCTGGCTGGCTTCAAGCCTCAGGCCCTAGCCAACACGGTGTGGGCGTATGCGACGGCGGGCGTGGCTGCGGACGCGCTGTACGCGGCGGTGGCGGAGGAGGCAGTGCGCGGCGGGCTGGCTGGCTTCAAGCCTCAGGCCCTAGCCAACACGGTGTGGGCGTATGCGACGGCAGACTGTTATCACCAGGCGCTGCTTGCCAACTGCTCGCGCGTGATCAGCGACTCGCTCGCGCGGGATCCGTCGAGGTGGAGCGAGGAGGACCGCCGTCAGCTGCACCAGTGGCAGCTCTGGCTCTCTTCGCGCGAGGATGGTCGACCTGATCGGCGCTACCAACACAGTCATCGACTGCTCTTTAGTTGGAACGAGCAGGAGCGAGCGAGGTCGATGCAGCAGCACTACGCCGGCCTCGATCTCGCCTCGCGCATCGAGAGGCTCGCGCGGGTGACTATGATGGTGTAGTGGCTGGGGGGCTGGGGCAGTGCTCGAGATCATGTTCTACGATGGATGGCGATGGGGGTTGGTCCTGCAACGGCGTCTCGTGCGGAGCAGTGGTGTGCTGTCGCGCGAGGGTTGCAGGCGGGGGTCGAGGGACCTTTCCCGCCTTTGCAATTAACAATGCTTTGGAATCTATGTGTGGACATGACCTCGAGTGGAGCCCCAGTCCTCGACAGGCTCATGACGATCGGCCGTCGATCCCGAAGGGTCGTCGGTTGAGCTAGGGAGCCTGGCGATGGACGCCACCGCGACCCCTCGTGGCATCTCTCAATCTCTCTCGCCGTCGGCGAGCTAGGGGCTCTCGTGGACGGCCGATTAATAAACAGTGTACCGCCGTGAGAATTAGTTCAACTGTGAATGGGGACATGTGCGGGACGTGTCTGCCTTCTGCTCTCATTGTCTGCCCTTTCGAGAGACGCCCGCAACCCACGGCTCTTGTTTCCCCACCCTCCCTCCCTGTCTATGTGTGGCTTCTAGGTATTTACATTTTTTAATAGATATTCCAAATTTCCTTCCCCAGAATCACGGGGCGCCAGCACACTCCCAGACGAGTGTGGAGAAATTTACCTTACCTTACCTTACTCCCAGACGAGGGACTTGTCAGGCCGCTCTAGTTCAGCATGTGCGTTGGTAACCCACACTGCACACACATCTCTCCCTAGTCGTGTCGAGCGGCCGCCCCTGCCTGCTCCACCAGAGCACGTCGACACTCGCGGATCGCCTCCTCGACGCAGCCGCCCGCCTCCACGACCGGCGACCCCTCCCCCCTCGCCTCCTCCAGCCGAGCGACGAGGCCCCACGCCGCCGCTCGCGCGTCGCCCGCGTGCGGTGCCGGCGCCTCGCCGGCGACGAAGACGGCGAAGCTCGCCGCCGCCGCCGCAAGCCTAGCCCTCCGCTCTTGAGAAAGTCCCCTTGCGGCGATCTGCCCTCGGGCCGCCGCGGTGTCGTCGGCCGCCGCGCCGCCGCCTCCCTCCGCATGCGCGCCGCCTGCCTCCGCGTACACGGGCGGCGGCTCTAGCGCAAACTCGAGCAGGCTGACGCACCAACCGACGAGGCACGCGTCCACCTAATCACCCGTTATCAACTAATTACGGAGTACTCATTCATTCCTGACGCACCAGCCGACGAGGCACGCGTCACCCGCGCGCTGCGCCGCGACGCCTCGCCGCCGCCGCCGCCGGCGGCGGCGTCAGCAGTGTCGATAGCAGCGGCAATGTCGGCACCGGCTGCCGCTGCGCTGCCCGCCGCCGCCGCACAACCCGCCGCCGCCGCCCCCCCCTCCTGCAAGAGCTGACCCCGTACGCTCCTCAGCCATTTCTCGGGCGAGATTGAGACGGCCGCGGCGGCAGCGGCGGCCTGCGCCTCCGCCGCCTCCGCCGCACCGCCGCCGCCGCCGCCGCCGCCTCGCCACTCTCCTCCGCTGCGGGCGACACGCGCTGCCCGCGCCGCCGCGATCGAGATCTGCTCGGCGTATGGCGTGCCGCACTGGCCGTCGGCACCCTGCTCTATGCAGAGGCTGCCCGACGCTCCAGCAGCCGCCGGCGCAATCTCGCCGGGGAGGTTGCGATCTCGAGGCGGCAGATTGGAGGGTCGAAGCGCCGCGTGCGGGAGAGCCGCAGGCCGCGAGGCGGAGTGGGGCGCGCTCTCGAGGCCGAGATTGCGATCTCGAAGCGGAGATTGCAATCTCGAGGCGGAGTGGGGCGCCCTCTCGAGATCAAAACCTCCCCGGCGAGATTGCAATCTCCCCGTGGCCGCCCCCTCGAGGCCGCGGTGCAAGGACGAAGGCGGCTGCCGAGCCCACACCGCAAGTCGAAGGGCTGCGGCGGCGGCTGCAGCTGCGGCCGCGGTGCCGGAGGGAGCGGTTGTGGCCGCGATGCCGGCGGCTGCGGCTGCGGCTGCGGCGGCTGCGGCGGCTGCGGCTGCGGCGCCGGCGGGAGCAAGCGCGGCGGCCGATTCGCAAAGAGAGCGCTCCGGCTCCGAGGCCGCGCCTCCCTCGCCCGCTCCCCCCTCGCCCGCGCCTGCGTCCTGCGACGGCCGTGCGGCCAGCGCGAGCTCAATCAGCGCGCGGCGGCACCACCCGGGCCGCGAGGCGTACGCGGCCCACGCTGCGGCTGGGTCCGAAGCGGCGGCGCGGCCCCTCTCCGCGTCGAGCAGGGCGAGGCCTGTCCACAGCGGGAGGTGTGAACACGGGAGGCGGCTCAGAGCGGCGCCAAGTATTCCCCTCCCTCCTCTCTCTGTCTGTCTGTCGGCCCATCTCTGCCCTATCTCCATCCC